TGTGGCCCAAGACAACTCTTCTTCTTCCAGTGTAGCCCAGAGACGCCCAAAAGGTTGGACACCCCTGGCTAAATCAAACTCTTCATTTAGGACCCTAGATAAACCAAGAAGTGACTTGGGGGACACAAGCCTGCAGGACACAGCAGGGTGAGGTTCGGCATTTCTCAGGTGTCTGACCCCTTCCCCGACCTTCCTCCAGCCCGGTCCTGCTGCTCTTGGCTGCCCACTCTGGGCCTTAGGGAGCATGGCGCTCCCGGAGGGCCCCCCTGCACCCCACCCCCCGGCTCAGTGGCAGGTGCGCGTTGCTCCTGCTTCAGCAGAACTCTAACGCAGCGCCCGCTGCTGTCTCCTGAACTTGACACAGGCATTTAGCAGCAGATCCTCCTGCTCCATTTTGCTCCGCTCTGTGCACGCTGGGGTGGGGAACTGAACTTCACTGTTTGGGCGGGCGGGGTGCCGTGGCACAGAGGGAAGGGCGTCATGGCATTCTGAAGAAGCAGCAATTTTCCTAACAGCCACCCCAAACCCTCACCTTGTTGATCAGTTTGCTCTCTGAGCCCCATACGCAACTGCCTCTTCAAGCAACCTGCAATTAAAGCCCCATTATGCAGGCGCGACAGACCTGGGAGAGAACTGATTACCAAGGCCCTGCCTTCTGCTTGACAACTCAGCCCGACCTTCCCCTGGCACACGCCCCGCCCAGTAAGAGGCGGGTGAATCACGGCCTATTCAACGTCACTCACAGACACTTCTCCCCTGTTACTCATTAGGTGTGCTTCTCAGGCTAGGGCGGCCTATTGACTACATGTTGAATATTGAAAGACAGCAGAAAGAGGATTTGCATGAAATCAAGGGTTGGTGATGATCTTTGCAGATAGGAAGGAAGATGGGGCTTGTTCAGAAAGGTCAACAGACAGCTGAGTTATTAAGTCCACGCAACCCTGTAAGGCAAGGCAAATGGAGCGCCCCGCCTTGTCCTTACAGCATTCACTCACCCTCTTGGGCTTGCTTTAGATGGGGACCCCTAGAAGGACAGAGTATCCTCGTCACCTGGACAGTGCCTAGCACATGAGGCAGGTCAGTGACTATCTGGCAAATAAACAAATGAATAAAAATAATAGCTACCATTTACTGGGCTCTTACTGTATACTTTAAATGGGTTGCTCATTTAACCTTCACAGCAACTTAACAATGACACATTATCCTGTTTCATAGATGAGTAAACTGAGACTCAAACAGGTTTTGTATCATGCCCAGGCTCACAGATCCAACTCATGTCGGAGCTGAGATTTGAACCCAGGCATGCACCCTGGCTGTTCTTACTCCTCCCCCTAGCTCTGTGAAGCTTCCGGTGATTGGCACAAGGGAAGGGATATGGCAGACTTTGTGGATAGCCAGAGTGATGCAAAGACCATGTGGAACCAGTGGCTGCCTTCCCTATCAGGAAAGAACCTCAGACTTAGCCTTGAGACCAGCTAGTTGATGGTGGGCACCTTTTGTGAGACAAGTGGCTTCCGGTAAATATCAAGGAAGCCAAGTGTAAGACAGTTTCTTCTCGAAAGGCAGCCCCAGACCTCCACCGTGACTGGTCTCTGAGTCCCATAGCTCCTGGAACTGTGGGCGATGATTAGTATGTGACCCAGAGAGGACCGTAACCTCATGAGACGTGGGGGTTAGCTCCAGGGCCCAAGCCCTTGAGACTGTAATACACTATTGCCTTCTGTTCAAGACCAGAACTTCTCTCTGAGAATATGGTATGATAGGTTCCCAAGGTCAAGGTAACACAAGTCTCTTCCCTCTCAGGGCAGTGAGGAGAAGTTTTCATTGTTTCCTGTTCCATATTAAGCCAGAAGGTGCCATGAACCTGGCATATCAAGCTAATGATTGGAGCTCCTGTCACCATGAGAAACATCAAGTTTCTGTGGATTTTTCCTTTTCTTTCTACTAGAATGGCTGTCATTGTCATATTGATTTATAGTAACTCTTTAGATAAAAAAAGGCATGATCCATTGTCATATGCATTGCAAGTACAAATTCTTTCCTCCCTTTATCTTTTTGCCTTATATTTTTACTTATGTCTTTGATGTACATAGTTTTGACATGGGCAACTCTTTCCCTTTGTAGTTTCTGGAACATTTCCCAGGCAAAGACTATATAAGTACCAATGTTTTTATTTTGTTCATGTCATTTTTAAACACTGATTTCTTCAATTCTGTTCAGAATTTATTCAGTTATATGGTTTGAGCTACGGATAAAATATTTAATTGCTCACCATTTAAGCCAGCTAATTGGGTATAACTCAGCCAGTAAGGTCCCCTCTGAGAAACGACGACGACAAAATTAGTTATCCTGTTACTCCACTGAATGTTCGTGTGAGGAGGTGCGGGCACAAGTGAGAGACCTGAGAGACCGTAAAGGGGAATCTAGCCCTATCGGATGATTCAAACCAACAGACTCGGCCTTTTTTAAACATCCTTCTTCCTGCAATTCATTTTGCCCCATAATGAAAGGACGCAAGGGATGTAGATAACCTCTAATGATTAAAAGAGATTGTTAAAAACACATCTGACCTGCCCAGTCAAATGCCAAGGGCTGTTGCTCTGGAGGGAGCCCCGCTCTCTCGCTGGCCATCCCAGGGATCCTGGGCCTCTCGTAATGAGATCCTCCTGGAGGTCATGGCCAAATTCAAGCCCAGAGGCACGCTTAAACTAGAGACTAGAAATTAAACAAGCGTGAAGACTAACTGGAAGCCAGATGATGAAGTGAAGAGCTCATCCTTCCAAGCCTCGGGAGGGCAGGGGTGCAGGCGTGGGCGAGGAGGGGCGCAGGCCCAGGTTTAGGGACCTGTAAGTGTCCTTTTACTGGAACCCATGCTGCCAAGGGGCCGGCTCTGCCCCCCTCCGGTTATTGATGTAGAATGCCTAGTGGAGGCACCAAGGAGAAATCAGGGCGTAGCAGCAAAAATCAGAGCTAGAAGCAAATGAGAAAAAAAACACATGTGCAATCTAGGCCATTTCCCTCATCAAATGCAGGCAGTTGTCCCTGGATGTGCTCTATAACTGCGTGCTTCACTGTGTCAGCCAAAGGTCTGTGGGGTATTCAAGGTAGGAAAGGGAAGATGGATTTCTGTAAAATGTCTCTTGGTCGCACATATTATCCAATTCTTAGGCCAATCGTGCTGAGTGTGTAGTACCTGTTCGCCCGGCCCCTCCTTTGGGCCGAGTGTCCTCCAGCTTCCACCGGATCCCACTAGGAAGGGACAGCTGTCAGAGAGAGCACGTCCTGCTGTTTGGGACCTGGTTTGGGATTCTCCCTGCCACTGCGCCTTTCTGCCAGGGCGATAACCGAAAGTTTGCTTCTTGGTGGGGACCACACCTGCAGTGAACCAGGTGCCCCCATAGAGTGGCATCTTTCTCACACACATGGAAGCTGCCTCTCGCACGAGGAAACAGTTTTCTCTCCTTCTCGAAGCAGCACCAGGAGCTGGAGCTCCAAGTTTAATGGCTCGTTACCCAGGGGTTACTTCCAACCCCTCCCCCCACCATGACATTCGTTCTTGAGAAAATTTAAAATGAATTAGATATTCCAAACTCATAGTTTTAAAGGAAATCAAAAATAAATAATGACCACAAAAACCCACTCCAATTTTTAGTTTTCAGACACTGGGCTGTATGGAGCCAAACAGCTGGCTGGACACACACACATACACACACACCCACCCTCCCTCACATGCCCGAGAACTGAAAAGTCATGCAACTCCCAGGGAAATTTTTAGCCAACGTGACAAGTGCTAGTGTTTTTGTACATCTTGTCAAATAAATACCAAACCTTAAGAAAAGCTGATTTAAAAAAAAAAATCTAGTTAATCTTGGACATTGTGGGTGAGTGTTGAAAATCTGAAATGTTAAAGAATAAAAAAGAAAATGCTTTCTCATAAATGGAACCAGAAATCCGGATGCAAACTAAAAGGACTGCTTATCCACTCCGATGCGATCAGATACACATGCACGGTCTAAACCGCCCCACCCACATTCAGCTTTCTGATTAGATTCTGTCTCATAAACCCGACACAGGGTCAGAGCCACAAAGTACGTAGTGTGAAATGTGCTTGGATCAGTCTCTTAAAACCAGTGTATTCTGGTACCTCCGAAGTCTGGCAAGCATCAAAGAAGAGCATCCTCAAAGCCAGGGCTTCGTGAGCTTCCCTGAAAGCACACGCAGCGTCTACCCGAGTGAACTGTGGGTGAGGCTGGGGCAGTGGCCTCGTGAACTGGACAAGTATGGACACACTGACCTCCCCACTCTCGTTCCGGACCACTCCCCCTGCCCAGTTTAGAGGACTTGAGGTAGGTGGCTGGCCTCACTCCCTCGGGTGGGAGAGGGGAGTGGTTATAAGTACACACCCCTCGGATGTGCCTGGATATGCACCCACTTTCCAGCCGAGTGCTCCCGGGAAAGGCACGCGACGCTCTGAGAGTCAGTGGCTCCACCTGCAAAATGGAGCTAATAAGCAAGCCCACCCCAGAGGTGGTCATAAGGCTTCAGTGAGCTGGTCTGTGTCACATGCCCAGCCAGTCCCCATCGCCAGTGCTGCCAGCTCCACAATGGGCACCCTGCTTGCCCCTTTTGCGTGGGACTGGGCAGTCTGAGAGGGGACTCAGACTCCTGAAGGAACAGTGTGCTTCTGAGAAGCCCAATAATGTGTAAGAACACACACCTGTCCTGGTGTTTAATTTTAAGTGTTTAATTAATTACAAGATGAAAACGATACCTCAGCCTGTAGTCCCAATACATGGACTGAATGGATAAGAAAGAGCCTGCCCTTTACAATACTCTTTCAAAGTCTTCCTAGCAGTCGGATGTCTTGTTTTTTCAGGACACAAGCACCGCCCACCAGCCCCGGCCCGCTGGGGTACCCACCGAGGTTTGGGAAATGGCAACTCCCGTGTGAAAGTGTTAGGCGATGGAAGCTGCCCGAAATGACTGCTGTTTCCTTGCAGGGTTGAAGAAAGTTTTAAAACCTTATTCTGGTCCATCTTTGGCTTGTCTGAAGTGATATCGGTGGTGCTGAAGTACGACCACAAGTTCATCGAGAACATCGGCTACGTTCTCTACGGCGTCTACAACGTCACCATGGTGGTAGTGCTGCTCAACATGCTAATAGCCATGATCAACAACTCGTATCAGGAAATTGAGGTAAGGCCAGTGAACAGAAAATCCCCTCTCCCTTGTGGTAATTTTCATTGCTGTTTCAGCAAGGAAGGTAGTGACTTTAGAAGCCCTGGGTTATTAAATGTGAGGCCGCATGGCCAACAACAGGCTTTCCTCCTGCATTCCATGGCCGACAAGGGCACAAAGACTCTGGTCACGACTCTTTCCTCTTTGACATGTGTCTCCTCAGGATCCATGCAAATCGAAATGATTGTATCTTCCAGCCCCCATTCCTTTCTGCCTCTCTCATGTACTTACTAAGTACCTACTGTGTGCCAAGCCTGTGGTAGGCGTGACAAGACTGGAATGACTAAGATACAGTCCCTGCCCTCAAAGAACTCAGTCCAGTGAGAAAAACAGACATGTCAATCAACAACTGCAGTGCCCGGGGGCCACATATGCCCAGAAGTCCTACCAGGTGCAGAAAGTGCAAAGCAGGGGCTGAATGGCGGGGGGTGGGGGGAGGGAGGGGGCGAGAGGAAACCTGCAGAGCTGGCGCCTGAAGGCCATTCAAAGGCTCACACAATTCTGCCAAACAGACAAGGGAGTGGAGAGGGTGGACCAGGAGGCATTTGTCACAGTCTACAAAGCACAAAACACAAGCCATTGATTGAAGCCTTGTTTGGAACAGCAAAAAATTAAAAATAAGCCAAATGAGCATTAATAGGAACCTAGTTATATAGATTATGATGCACCGAACAGTGGGATACTGTGTGGCTTTAAAACAGGGTGAAGATGTTCTCTATACACTGATTTGGAGAAACCTTCAAGTTAGAGTGTTAGGTGAAAAACAATCAGGTTGAAGAACAGTGTACACATATAGTATATCTGTCTTGTATAAGAAAGGGAGAAAAGGGAATATTTATTCATTTTTGACTGAATAAGCATTTGAAGAAGGAAAAAAACTCTGGAAGGGTCACGGCAAATTCACGGCAGGGGGCCTGCTGCGAGGTGGGCTTGGGGGAAATGGTGGTAGGAACACTTTTCCATTTATACCTTCTTATGTTTCAGAAATCATGTTATTGTTTTACTTATGAAGTTAAATAAACAAACTAAAAATTAAAGCAAAATAAAATGTACTAACCCTTTCACGCAACAATTCCAATTCTAGGAATAGATCCATGCAGAAATATGATTTTACACAGTTATTCATTAAAGGAAAAACATGGAAATAGCTCATCAATATTAGAATCTTGAAATAAACCGTGATATAGACTTTAGAATTCTGAGTACATAAGACTGTATGTACAATGAGGAAAAGTTTTTTGTGCTGACATAGCAAAAGCCCTATGATAATATTAAGTGAAAAAAAATGCAAGTTGTAGGAAAATATAAGCCAATCTTATTTACATAATGTAAATGTAGCAAAATTCCTATGATAATGTTGAGTGAAAAAAATGTAAGTTGCAGAAGAATTAGCAAATCTTGTTTACATGCTAATGTGAATATACAGAAAGAAAAAGGAGAGAAAGATAGAGAAAAGGTACCACACCCTTGACCTGGGGTATCTTCTGGGGAAGAGCATAAGAGAGAGATTGAAAGGGGACATTCACATGTGCTTGGTATACCTCTGTACTTAAATCTTTTAAAAGAAACAATTATTTGTGTATTTCTCACCTAGGAAAAAAGAAAGACCTCATGCATTAGTTAGCTAGGTCTTCCAAACAAAATACCACAGACTGGGTGGCTTGAACAGGAAGCCACTCACAGTTCTGGAGGGCTTTCTCCTGCGGCCTCTCTCCCTGGCTCGCAGCTGGCTGTCTCCCCACGTGTCCTCTCGTGGCCTTGCTCCTGGGTGCATGCAGCCCTGGTGTATCCCCTGTCCTGACGGGGAGACCAGTCATATTGGATTAGGGCCTCATTCTTGTAACTTCATTTAACCTGAATTACCTTTCTGAGGGCCCTACTTCCAAGCACAGTCACATTCTAAGGTACTGAGGGTTAGAGCTTCAACATACAAATTTCAGGAGGACACATTTGGTCCGTAATACGCTCCAAAAATGAAAGTATGCTAAACAGTAGGAACAGCACATGCCAAGGCAGAGGGGGTGAAACAATGTGTTTACTCAGCAAGGCAAGAGTGTAGTTTGTGAAAGGAAGAGGCAAGAGGTCAGAGGCAGAGGCGGGCTGGGCCACGACGTCCTCATTCTCTTACCCCTGCCCTTGCAAAAATGCAGTGTCTGTTGATAAACATGTATTTTTTAAGCGGTCTACCTATGTGGTCACCTATGTGGATGAACTCTTGCTTACTGGCCCTCCCTGCCCTTCTGGGCCTCAGTTTCCCCAGGTGTAACAGAAGCCAGATGGTGCCTAGATAATCTGTGTCACCACTCACCTGGGATGGTCTGCCCCATCCTAACAGGCATGTCATGCTTTGCTCCAATTGAATGTGAAAGGTAAAGCCGCATTGTTGATGCCCACTAGCCTGGGGCAAGTCCATGGCCTGCGATGTCAAGTCACCCCAACAGTGTGGCGACACAAGATGGACCGACCTCCCTGCAGCTCACTGCTCCCTGCCGGGCTCTGTGCCTCTCCACTTCAGGTGGGGGCACCGCGGCCCCTGGCCTGCTCACAGGTGGGCGTGTGCAGGACCACGAGAAGTGGAAAGTGCCCGCTATTCACAGACACACGGAACTGTGATCAAGGGCATACTTATAAAGCCTTCCGTGAGAATACTTCTATTCCGTCAGTAGATCCTGAGCTCCCACTGCCCACATCCACGGACCCGCCGGCCTCTGAGCCTGCCACACCCCCCCGCCTCTTTCTCCATCCCAGTAGCCTGCCCGCGCACCCTGGCGCCCTGCCCTCTTGCCTCCTCGGGAGCCGCCCTTATCCCGACTCCACCTGCGTTGTCACCCTCTCCTTTTCTGCCTAGTCCTTCCTGTCAGCATTTAAATAAGTCTCTGGATCTTAAAAAGTAACTACAAAAAATCCTCCCTCAATCTCCCTTTCCAGCTCTCAACCTTTCCCTCCCGCTCTTTACTGCTGTCTTGCTCAAAAGAGTTATTCACATTTCTCGCCTTCTCTTCCACTAATTAACTCCCACCCTCCACCTGCCAGCCCACCCACACCTGACCTGGTTGGGAGCCTGGATCTCAGCTCCGACACCAGCCGCCAGGGCGGCCTTCCCTGGTGCCCAGGGCCGGGCCGCCAGCCTGGACACGCAGAGCCCCCACGGCTCTTAGCACAGCCCAGGGTAAAAGGCTAGCTGGTGCGTTAACGCGCTCGTGTTGTGTGTTCCGCAAGGGCACGGACTGTCATCCCCAGGGACTCCCTAGCACATGCCAGGCACATAGCAGGTGCTCCATAAATGTTTGCTGAATGACTAAAGGTTGAACACTAGGCACTGTGTTAAGCTGTGGACGTGAAAATGATATTTACTGAGGGTTTACCACGTGTCTGACACTCGGTGTATTTCCAGGCACTAACTCCTTTATCCTCACAAGAGCCTATGAGATAGGTACTTTTATCCACACTTTACAGATGAGGAATTGAGGCCTCAAGCAGCTAAGTCGCCTGCCGTGGTTACACAGTTAGTAAGGATCAGAGCCAGGCAGGCCCCAGGGCCACTGTATCACCACACCTCTCAGGTCGGTGTCCCTATCACACAGCTGTTGTACAAGGAGTGATCCCTACCCTCACAAAGTTTCCAGTCTGAAAGACCCATATAGAATGTCCCGTAGACCAGGCCGGGTGCGGATGGGGTCTCAGGAAAAGGAGGCAGAATGGCCAAGCCTGCTGGTGAGACCTTGCAGCTCATGGCACATCCCTGCAGCCTCACTCGGTTCATAGCCCCTTGCATGTTACCAATGCCGGGGGCCAGGGGGGCGACCACTCACGGAGCACAGACTCGATGCCGATCGCAGGCCACGTGAGGGTCAGCATCATCACCATGCCCAGAGGAGCGCCGCCTGCGGTCACACGGCTAGTAAGGGGTGTGACCCAGTTCCATCAGAGCCCAAGTCCCAGGCCTCTGTCCTGGCCTCAAATTGCCCTCCCAGGACAGAGGCCTGAGGAGCCTGCCTGCAGCAGGAGGCCCGCTCAGCGTTCTGACACCGACACCAAGTCAAAAGTAACAGATCTAGGGCTTCACTCAACCACTACCACCAGGGACGAGAGTAGCTACAATTACTATAGCAACTTTGTCTTGGTAATAATCACTATAGTCATAGTTAACAATGGCCAGACTCACTGTAGTCTGGTTTGTCCCCCTTGAATTACACATGCAGAACCTCTCGGTGTCTTCCTGGCAGCACCCCAGCCAACAGGAAATACACTTTCTAATAAGAAATACACTGTGGTGTCCAACATGGTAGCCACTTACCACAGTACCTACTGAGTACCTGAAACGTGGCTAGTCCTAACTGAGACGTGCCCCAGGTATAAACTACATACTGATTTCTGAAAATCGGTATTTAAAAAATGTGAGCTATCTCATCCATAATTTTAATGGTTGTTTATAAAGGTTACATGTTGAAATAACATTTTAGGTCGACTGGAGTAAATAAAACACAACACTGAAATTAATTTCCCCTGTTCCATTTTACTTTCTATATTGTGGCTACTAGAAAATTTACACATTTAGGTTTACCTGTGTGGCCCACCTTTGTGGCTCACCTTGTATTTCCGTGGGGCAGTGAGGCTCTAAAAGATTCACACGCTGCTGCTGCTGTGGCTGCTGAGTGAGCAGAGTGCACGTGTTAATGGATAACAAGATAAAGTGACAATGCGAGGGCCCTTTGGTCAGGGGCAAGTGGAGAACGTTGGTAAGAGTACCCAGTGGAGAACGAGAGAGGATGAGCTGCCTGAGGTTTCTGGTGATGGAGCCAAGACACCAAGTGGAGATCCTTAGGAATGACTAATTGCATAGGGTTTTAGTGAGAGCAAGCTCCCCAGTGTGCCTCTGCAGGGAAGGTCCACAAACGGGAAGAGTCCCGTTTAGAAATCTGCTTTCAGAATCTGGAGTAGCAGACCCACACCTGAGACTGAGCTCGGGTGTTGAACGGTGGCCTTTGATGCTGTCATGTTGTTTCCCTTGTCCACAGGAGGATGCAGACGTGGAGTGGAAATTTGCCCGAGCAAAGCTCTGGCTGTCTTATTTTGATGAAGGAAGAACTCTACCTGCTCCTTTTAACCTAGTGCCAAGTCCTAAATCATTTTATTATCTCATAATGAGAATCAAGATGTGCCTCATCAAACTCTGCAAATCTAAGGCCAAAAGCTGTGAAAATGACCTTGAAATGGGCATGCTAAATTCCAAATTCAGGGTAGGTACCACCGAGTTTATGGGGTTAAGACAGCAGGACGGGGAGGAGAGAGTTAAATGTTTCATTCAGACAGGGGGTCCCAATACAAGGGAAGTCAGGCACGAGAGGGGCCGATGTTTTTCAAAGTCCCAGGCACCTCAGCAGAGCTGCAGCACCAGCGGCGGGGGTGGCAGCCACCCCGCTCCCTGCAGCACCCTGGGCAGGTGCCTTCCTGGGGGCTCAGCCCGGCCCCAGTTCGGGGAAGCTCCTTAGTGGACTCCGCACTGGAACAGCTCTTCCCAGGGTGTAACTGGAGAGTGATCTCTGGGAGAAAGGTTCCCTGCCCGTTATCTCCTCCTCCTGGAGATGCTTGCAATCCTTGCGGGCTAGTTAAGGCCTCTGAGGTGTCCGGGAGGATGGATACCCATGTAACTTGAACTCGATGCTCCCCAGAGATGACCAAACAATATTCTGTAACCTGTTGACACCCTACACACCTAAAGTCCCAGGAACAGTGTCCTAGTAAGCCAAGCAGCGTGGGTGCATCGACCTCCCAAGGGTCCTCATTCTAAGGGCCACCCCATCTGTGGGTATTATTTGAGTCCTTTCAGGTATGTATATATTATGCATGTATTTTTTTTCCCCCCAGAAGACTCGCTACCAGGCTGGCATGAGGAACTCTGAAAACCTGACAGCAAATAACACTTTCGGCAAACCCACCAGATACCAGGTAACCACCTCCTTCTCAGGTGTGGGCAGAAGTGGGCTCCATCAGACACGATGCAGCCACACGGCTGTGCCATCGCCTCAGAGCACAGCTTCACTCCTTCCTTCGCTCAACGAATAGTTTTTAAAAATCCTCACATGAGGATATGTTTATTGATTCAAGAGAGAGAGGAAGAGAGACAGAGGAAGGAAGGGAAGGAGAAACAGCAACTGATTTCCTCCGGCACGTGCCCCTACCAAGGATCAAATCCGCAGCCCATTGGTGTGTGGAACGACACTCCAACCGACCGAGCCACCAGGCCAAGACCTTTCAGCGCGTACTTATTGGGTGCCTCCTATCTGCCAGGTGCTGTGCTAGTTAAAGGGGATAAAGACATGGTTCCTACCTTAGTGCCCTTCAGTCCAGTGAGGGAGACCATGAATGAGTAAACACAAATAAATAAACACATTCAAATTGATCAAAAGTGCCAGGAAGAAAACAACAGGGTGCAAAAATGGAGAGAAACAGGGAGTCCCTGCTTAGATATGGTTATCAGAGGGGGCCCCTTCAAGGACAGGACAGTTAGCGACGGTCTCAAGGAGGAGAGGAGGCAGCAGGTGGGCGTCCCACACAGAGCAAAAGCATCAGGGAGAGCTGGGGGGAGAAACTGGGCAGGTCCCAAGCCGCGGAGCCTGGCCCACAGGGGACACGGGAGGGCGATGAAGTCAGCAGGGGCGTCAGGGGCTGGCCAGACCAAGGTCAGGATGTGCACCTTACTGTGCGCGACCCAGCAGGGCAGTCGGAGGAGTTTAACTTTGGGGAGGGAGAAGATCAAATTCTTCTTAGGCTCGACGAAGGCTCCCTCGCTGCTACAATGAGAGGAGATTGATGGGGATCCGAGTGGAAGCAGGGAGACCAGAGAGGAGCACGTGACAGTCGCGCAGGTGCCGAGGACGGTGGCTTGGACGGGCCATGAGTCGAGGGAGGAAGCCAAGCGGGCCGATTCTGGACGCAGAGCCGGTGGGGCCTGAGGCAGGCGGCGGCCCCGGTAGGGAGAGGGGCCTGGCCCCCAGGCATCTGTCTTAAGTGTCCGGGCGGCTAGTGCTGTCTTCAGTGAGCACTTGGCCTTAGCTGCCAGCCTGCAAAGTCTGTCCCAAAAACCAGACGACGACCTTTTCTGCTTGCAGTCCTCACGTTGCTTTTGGGAATTAATGTCAAATCTCTGTGTCAGTATGAATAGCCCATGAGCCAGTGATAAATGGTAGCTCCAGGTTATTGATTACAAAAGTGTAGGCCATTCTTTTCCTGACTCTTTCTTCCCAGTGATCAGCAGTTTGATCCGTGCTGATTATTTCTTATCAGATGTAAATCTGAAGCTGCTCAGAGCGGTCCTCCAGGCCAAGGGGATGTGTCCCTAGTGCCACCGTCCCAGAGGGAGCAATAGCAGACGCAGCATCTTCCAGACACGGGCCTCTAATTGAATCTCCGTCTGTATGTCAGAAGCCAGCTGTGCAGTCAGAAGGATTTAAGTGTCCAATTAAGAAACGGCTCATCCCTCAAAATCCCTCTAGGATTATCAGATGATGCAGGCTGAACACTGGCAATGGGCAGATCTTGTAATTAATCACGCACAAAATTGGGCTTGACCCGTCTGATCTGCTTTGAGTTATTTTATAGGACAAATCCTTTGGTCAGTGGGAGGATTCTTCTTTCTCAGCTTCTCAGGGAGAAGTTGTGATTATCTGTGGTACCGAGAAGATAGATGACGCTATTGGGTTTGGGTAAATCTGTCCTGGGTTTTGAGCTGCTGAGATAAAGGCTCGTTAGGTGGTGAATGTCCTGCACTCAGAATGAATCCTTTACAAGCGAGGCCGGTTCAGAGACAGTATCGGCCATTCCTGTCTGTCCTCCATCACCAGAGCCAGCTGAGTCCTGGCCGCGGTCCACCTCCTGGATCGCTTCCTGCTGTGATTACAGCAACTGGCTGGCTTGCAGCTTCAGGCCACTGATAACCTTGGAAAGCTTGCTCCCCCTATATCCTGTGACTCCACTGTGGAAAGCCTGCAGCTACTGATTCAAACAGCTGTCACAGAGAAGAAGAAAGGAAAACTGGGCCACAGGCGTCAGAGGACGGCAAGCAGAAGCAGAGAACACCGGGCCTTTTGCACATGTGCACTTGGCTCAGCCCTGCTCAGGGAGGTCTGGGTGTCTCCCTGGGACATCGTCCACTGAGACAGGAGTGAACCTTGAGAAGACGGGAGAGACTAGCTGGCAGCCGACCGGACCCTAGCACTCGAGTGATCTCGCCACATTCCTGTGAGAGAGGCAGTACCCTTAACCCCATTTAACAGAGGAGAGGACTGACACTCAGGGGCGAAGTCACACAGCGGCCTGTCTGACTCCAAAGGGCACTGCCTTCCACCTCCGTTCACCTCCATAGTGTCGCACCAGGGCCCCCTCAGAAGCAGCCCTGCCTGTGCTTGACAGTCCCGGGGGGAGATCTAGTGGAGCCTCTGCAGCCTGGTTCGGGGGGGGGGGGGGCACGGTAGGAGCAAGAGGAGGCACTGGGCTGACCCGGGAGCAGCAGTAGCCAGGAAGGGGAGAGCAGGCTTCAGGCGGCGTCTGCAGCGGCACATCTCTCCTGGGCAACACTGGTAGCTTCCCAGCTGCGTGGCTTCCTTCCCAACGCAACTTCCACGTGTGCAGAGACGAGGAGGAGCCCGCCTGCCCCCTCTCCTCCATCGTCCAGGCTGCACCCAGAGATGCGCGCCCCACCCCGAGCACGGTCAGCCCCTGTAACACTCCCAACAAGACAGGGGCCCAGTCACTCACGCATGTGGTTTTTAAGCTTTTTCCTTTGTGTCCCTTCAGTGGGTTCCCTTGATTGTTCAACCCCGTTGCTTTGGGGGGGTTTTATACACTTGTTGGTGCTTCCTTTTGGGATGCTTGCCCTTGGGAGGGAAGGCATTTCCTTGGACTTCTATGCTTTGCTTTCTTAGGCCTCCAGGGACCTGATCTGCTATTTTTCACGAAAGCAGTTCCTTGCTTTTGTAATGCTTTTTCTAATCTGGGCTCTGCTGGACATGAGACAAAACAACGGAACAAAACCATGATGTCAGCGAGGTGGCCATCATGTGCCTACCAAAGCCACCTTGTGACCTGTTCCCAGAGCCGGCGTTTCGGTTTCTTGGGGTGTGTACTTGACCCTGTGCGTGTGCCCTCCGAGAGGTACATTTCCTTCCGGGGCACAGCAAAGCAGGCACATCCCAAAGGCACCCCAGAGTCCGGGCACGGTCTATCATCAAATTAGCCCCTTCCCCACAACCAAGGGGGCTGTCCATGTGTCACCTTCCTGATGGCCTTTTCTGTAGAGATCAAAGCAAACAGAGTAGACAGCTTGCCAGAGCTGATCTCTTCTCTCCCAGGGCCTGATAACCCCCATGTAACCGGTGACTTGTCCCAGGGTCCGGGACCCTTTCAGTCTGCTCTTCCCCAAATGGTCCTCAGCTTCTGTTTGCCCAAATGGAACGCTGCTCCCTTCTGGATTCCACTCCTTCTGCCATCTCCGACATACCCTGTGTTCACCTGTTCCCCTGCGTCCTTGGCTGCCTGGGCTGCTCAGAGGGCTGTCTCTTCCACAGACAGACCTTCTATTTTCCCTTCAGCAGCCGGAGGCGGTCAGCCCCTTCGTACCTGGGCAAGGGGCCTGCATGCCTTCCTCCCTGGACTCAGGTCTTGGGGCCACAACCATCCTTTCCCGTGGTGCATCTCAGTGTTAGTTCTTCTGCCTGAGTCACATCACTAAATGGGCTTGCCTCCCACGCTTGCTAAATGCATGGGGGCGGGTGGGCCGAGCTGCCACCGATGGAGACATGTAAACTTGGGGAATGTTCATCGTCTCCTTGAGGTGAAAGACCTCTGTGGAAGCTGGCAAGGAGGTATCGCAAACTTGTCACGTTCTCCCCCCATGTAGTGAGAGGGGAAGCTTCTGATATCCATCTTTTCCAGAAGCAGAGAGCCTATGTGTAGCATCCATTTTAATAGAGCTTTGGGGCATTTCTAACTATTTCCGACTTCCTGGGGACAAGACTGACATCTTGCTCCTGCAGATCCCGCTTAACATGCACATGCCAGAGGGGAAGCTAGGTCCCCATCAGGACACGGAGTTTCTCAGCAGCTGACAGGCAGTCACACTCTTCTCCCTTACGGTATCTGTCCACCCCCCAGGTTCCTGTCGCTTCTGGGAGGGGCCGGGGGTGCGGAGGAAGGGTAGGGGGTCCCTGCACGTCTGCGGGGCTCCTGAGATTCTGCTTCCACATCAAGGCTCTATAACCCCCATGTGTGTGGAGAGACTGACAAGCAAACCCTCACTTCTCTGCACGCTGAGCCGGGGTCTGCAGAAACCCCAGCTCGGGTCAAATGTGCCCATTTGCAACAGCGGCCACGAGCACAACCGTGACATACCAGTGACCCTCTTCTCCAAGGGGTATCCACTGGACAAAGCCACCCACTCTCTCAAATTGAGCTGAGGCGTCCTCCGGCATAAAAGACTGTATGTTTTAAAGGACAAATTGGTCCCCAGAAATGGCCCAAGCCCCCTTTGACAAATAGGAGCCAGTTTCCTGCCTCTCATCCCCTTAACCGCCTTGCACTCAACTTTCTTCTGGGGCTTGGATGAAGCCCCAGCTTTGGTTGATCTTTCAGTTAATCCCAGACCTGCTCCCTCCCCACTGTGTGATCTTGGAGAAGTCACCTCGCCCTCTGAGCCTCGGTGCCCTCACCTGTACGTGGAGACAACTGCCTCCCTCTCACAGAGCTCCTGGGAGGGTTCAATGAGGTCCCTTGGTCGAGGAGTTAACACAACTCCCAGGCTGTAGGGAGGATTCAGTGCACTTGCTTCTTCTTCACCTACTCCCTTCCTGCCCGGGAGCTGCCCCGCACTGAAGGAGGTGGGTGAGCAGGGTCTCACCTAAAGCAAATGGAGCTTGAGGGGCACCTTTTGCATTAACAGTAAAACACTGCGGGCTCTCTTAAAACAACCAGGTTAGTTACATTGCCCTGGAGCCCAGCGTGCACACAGAGCCAGAGGACGCAGGCTGCTGCCGCCCTTCGGAAGGACGCCACTCAGCACCGCTCAGAAAAGGAAACGCCTCACCTCCGACCTTTGGCTTACAATTTTACCTCATTGATATAAACTCCTTAATCAACAGATCCAGACCTGAACAACCCTTAATTCCTGTCATTTTTCTTGAAAAGACAACAAACTAGATAGATCTCCTTAAGTTGCATCCGCCTACAAGTTGGTGGTGGAAGAAAACTTCTGAATTCCTTACTCAGTGAGAATATCAGATACACGGGTATCGGGTTGTTTGTTGTTTGTTTTCCCCATGAGGCTGGTTTTGGACAAAGTTTTGTTTAGTTTTGTTTTGATTCTTCAACTGAAAGTGAAAAGACCATAATGAGCCCCGTGGAAAGGCCTATTGTGTTCCTGTAACTCAGGGAAGCTGCCTTAATGGCCAGAGGAACACCCATGAGAAATTAGCCCTGAGCACTAACAGGACCAGACCCAGGCCTTTCTGGGAAGGGGCAGCAGGGAGGGAACTTGAGAATTGACTGTTCGGCCTGAAACAGGACCACAGGTCAAACCACAGAGCCAAGTGGGGCCCCAGCCCACGGGGGCCCCGGCGGGGCAGCTCTGGCTGAACGGGCTGACTTGGAGCTCACCAGAGCGAGCCTTCGCCAGGCGCAGTCAGAGCCGTGGAACACAGGCCTGGGAGGCCCCTCCTCAGCAAGGCCTTCACCATTACAGGTGCCCAGGACCACCGTTCGCTGATCACGATGAGTTAAATCCTCCACCTCTTTGCATCATGGCAGTTCACGTCTTTTACTTGCCGGAAGCTTGTCCTGAGTCTGTCTAGCCAGGGAGAAAATAGCCTGCCTGGCAGCCCACAGCCAGGCTAGGGACAGAGCTCGGGCCCCGCCATCCCTCCTCGGCCCTCAGGCGTGAGCAGGTCACAGGAAGGGACGGCCACGGAGCAGGCAGTCCCTCCCTCTCGGCCTGGCTGCCTGTCTCTTACAAGATTCAAAGTCTCAGCTACCAGAATATTTTTAAATCCTGTGATTTCTCAGGAACCCTGAACAACTAGCTGGCAAAACCCAAAGTTCACCCCCTGAAGTCTTTTTTACGCTTGGCTCTATTCTTGGTGTCTCCTGTCTGTTCATGCCTCATTTGCTTAAAGAATCCAGTGTCTGCATATTAAATGAGTCTGCAGGCCACGCCCTTCTCCTCCGGCACGACCAGGGATGAGAGCTGGGCACGGGGGTTTTAGGGGCGCGCTATCTTGGCAAAGCTTCCCCAGGCCCGGCGGTATCTGCTCCCGCCTCTGGCAGGAACTTCCCCAGGGACAGCGGGCTTGTCCTCCAAACCCGGTCCTGACGCTGCGCCACGTGCCCCTGCGCCCATGCACACACCTCAGTGGGACGCAGCTCCACCGGGCTGGCCGGCCGAGACTTCGGTGCCTCCTCCTGATCGCATTCATTGTCGAACTAGGAGAAAGTGTTTCGGAGCTGAAGCTTGAGAAGAGGATGTGACAGGCTGAAGTCACAAAGAAGGGCAGGGCTGGGTCAGGCCCGGACTCTAGAGCAGCATCCCTGCATCTTAGATGCCTCTCCCTCTCTCTCTGCGGCTCACCCTCCTGCTTATGTCCCAGGGTCAGGTGGTACTGAATCCTTGGGGCACAGGTTAAACAGAGGGACTGGCCCAGGCTCCCTCACAAGGCAGGGCACCAGGCGTGGGGGGACGCGGCTGACCGGGCTCTGCAGGATGGGGAGCCGAGCATACACCGTGCAGGCTGCCTGTGCTCAGCCAGGCTTGTCTGATGCCTTCCTTGTCTTCACATTTCAGAAAATCATGAAACGGCTCATTAAAAGATACGTCCTGAAGGCCCAGGTGGACAGAGAAAATGATGAAGTCAATGAAGGTAAGAGATTGGGGCGGTTTCCCATAGGTCGGTGGGAGGCGGGCATGGTCTCACCGGGCTGCAGCCAAGGTGTGGTCAGCAGGGCTGGGCTCCTGTCCAGAGGTCTGGGTGGCTCGTCTCCACGCTCACTGGGTGTTGGCAGGATGTGGTCCCATGCGGCTGCAAAACTGGGATCTCTGGTCCCTGGCTGGCTGTCAGCTGGGGCAGCCCTTGGCTCCAGGCTGGAGGCCACCCTCCGGTCCGCCTGCAGCGTGGAGCTACTTCATCTCAGCAGCAGCACCAGGGTGCCCGCCCCCCCCATCACGCTGTCACCTCTCATGCCTCCTCTGTCATCACATGTCTCTGACACACTCCTCTGCCTTCCTCTTCCACTTTGAAAGACTCACGATTCGATTGGATAAACCAAAACTGTCTCCCTATTTAAGGTCAGTTAATTAGCCACCTGAATACCATTTGCAAGTGTGGTTTCCCTTTGCCACATAACCTAACATGTCCATAGGTGGAACAACGGGGATTAGGACCTAGGTGGGTGTCTTGGGGGTAATTAATTATTCTGCCTACCACAGTGGTGGCTGTCCTGAGTTGCCCATTCATGGCCGTCGAGTTCAGGATGGCCCATAATTCTTCGCTCCGCACACACGCATGGAGTGGCAGACTACGTACCTCTTTCGGATTTTGCCACAGTCCCGGGGCCTGCTGGCTCCGTCCTGTCTCACTCCTGGGTTCTCAGAATCAGACGAGCCCAGTGCTTCCCGATCCTGCTGCAGGATCACTCGCTAAAAATGCACATCCAGACCTGAAGAACCAGCCTCCTCCAAGAATAAAGGCACGAAGTCTCCCCTCGCTTGAGCCACAGGGGCAGCGGGAAGAGCCTGGCCACTATTAGTGGCCTTCTGCTTCCTCCTGGGGCATCCCCCACCAGGCCACCGCTGTCTAGGGACAGAGCAGCAGCCCTCTGACCTACCCCTACTTCTGGGTCTCCAAGGGGAAACTGCCACATGTCGGGCCACCTGGCCTTGAGTGGCAGGAAGGTCCCTGACTCCAGTAGATGGGGCTGCCCGGGTCTCGTGCCGCCAGAATGACCCACGGAAGTGGGGCTCAGCGACACACCCAGCGAGTTTTGAGGGACGTCGAAACTGACCAGGCTGTACCTTTAAAATCTCTACTGTGTGTGTGTGTGTGTGTGTGTGTGTGTGTAAGTCACACCTAGAAAACAGACATGCGTAATGTGTCCCAGGAGGTGGACTCGCACTTGAGTCAGGTCCTACTGACTCAGCATCCATAACGTCAGGAAAGAACCTTTTAACTCCCCTTTGTGGTTAATAAAAAGGTTCCCACAGCCCAGGCCCACATGGATTTCTAACCACGTGGGTCACTGTGGAAAGAAGCGGAAGTGCCCACCTGGTGGTCCCCTGCTTCGGGAGGAGGCGGAGGCAGGCCTGCTGCAGGGCTTCTGTGACGCGGCGCCACTTGCCTGGTCTGGACGGACCCTGCTCCTGTGAGGCTGCCCGTTTCCACGGCCAAGCCGTCCGTGCCGCACTGCTGCTCCCTGCACACGTAGGGGTTTCTCCCCTCTGCAGATAATGACAGAACAGTGCAGGGAGCATCATGAAAACAAGGGTGTTACCCAGAGTATTAGCTCTAAGACCAATATTCTACAACCATGATATGAATTAGGTGCTAGCAATTCACGGCCCTGGTCTCGACTCCGCCAACTACCTCAAACCCTTACCGCAGAGCTGGACCAGGACTGGGAGGAGAAGGGCCTCACAGGGATGGACATGTCCTTCAGTGGCAGCAGCGGGGTGGTACTCAGGGCAAAACGAAGCTCCCGTCCCCTCACCTCCACCCCTGGTGGGCCAGGCTAGCAGCCCAGCGCGCTGCTGGAAAGGCGCACCCCCACATGCCCATGGCATGAGCCCCTCCCGGCTGCTCACACTCACCAAAATCTCACCTGTCCTTGCAGGCGAACTGAAGGAAATCAAGCAAGACATCTCCAGCCTGCGCTATGAGCTCCTTGAGGAGAAATCTCAAGCGACCGGCGAGCTGGCCGACCTGATCCAGCAGCTCAGCGAGAAATTTGGGAAGAACTTAAACAAAGACCACCTGAGGGTGAACAAGGGTAAAGACATTTAGCAGCCCACATGGCACCTGTGACTTCTACCAGCATTCCAAGGCCAGGGTGAATGTCCTGGCCACCAGCCCTGGAGGGGAGGGGTCCCGGGCCCACTCCTCTAGGACCCTAAGGGGACCCAGGGGCTCTGTCCTGAGCAGTCTGGCTGGTACCTGCAGCCCAGCGGCCTGCCTGGATCCAGAACTGTTGTGAACCTAGGCTGATGGGTGAGAAATGCGACCACAGGAGGGGAGGAAGTGCCCCCGACCATGCGCGCGCGCACACGTGCGAGACCTTCAGTCCAGCCGCAGAGACTCACGCCCAGCGGCCAGTGCGGGATAGGCCTTCTGGGATGCACATGCGCCCTACCCCTGCGCACGGAACGCAGCCCCGTCTGTGTCCCGGGAAGACAAACCACCTCATCCCATGCACCCCTCCTCACCCTCCCTGCCCCCACACACATCCAAACAGAACCGGGAGGTGACCTGTGACCTATTCTTAAGTGCCAGATGAGAACACAGCCTAATAGCAAAATAGTTTTATTTGTTTATAAAAGAAAAAAGTTTAAAAATCCTAAATCAGAAATTGTACTGTAGGTAGCACTGTTCAAAATCCAAATGATGTATTTTTACCTTTATTAAGATTATCTTGTATTTACTATTTTTACCTAAAAGGAAAAGAAATAAAATTACCTCATGAGAGCCTGGGGGGCCTCTGCGCGTGCTGCCCTCCTGTGCCCTGTCCCAAGGGGGATCTGGGGCCCGCACACCGGCGATTCTCTGGGAAGAAAATGGGGCAAGTGTGAGGACAGAAGACACCAACCTCCCCCCGCCCCCCGCCAAGAATGATGCACCCAGGACCCCCACCTCCAAGTCCCTCCTCCTATTCCCAGACCTAATCACCCCAACCTCACCAACGTCAGGAAAGGGGAAAGGAAATGGCGCAGGTAGCAGAGCATTGTCCCCTCTCCGTCTCCCCCTCTGTGTGGACAGGCGGGGTGCCCTGTAAAGGGAGCCAAAAATCGTCCAAAAGGACCCTAGGTGTGTGTGGGGAGAGTGGCCACGAGAGGGCGCCCCAGTCCCAAACAACACCCATCTGAGCAGGTTGGTGACAGCACTGGATTTCAGGAGAGCTCGCTGGTCCCAAGGAAACACCTAGTAACGTTGGCTGGAAGTACGGAGAGAGCAGTGCCAAGAGCATGGCTGAGGGCTCTGCGTGCATCAGTCCACTGACCCCTCACAGCAACCCTGATCAGGGCCACAAGTCCAGATGACGGTGGACACCCTGGGAGGGCACACTGTGTGTTTAATGTATGCATACGTAGGGTGGGCTTTGTCTTTTGTGACATGCAGTATATCTTCAGAGATGAAAGCTTTTTACCTAACTCTGATCTAAGAACAGATGAAATGGGGAGATGAACAGAACTGCAGGTGGTCCCCGCATTCGGGGCGGGCAGAGCCACGAAGTAGCTGGCGGGGCCCTGCCCAAAGGGGGCCAAAGGCACTCAGCCCAGCCAATCGCTGCCATGAGGAACACAGGCTCAGCTTTGCCAAATTTTCCCAATTTCTGGTGGGGGCGGGGTGCCCTTGTGGGGTCCCTGGTGACTGGAGATGACCCCCTGAAACGTGGCACCGCTGCTCCAAGCTCAAATAAGAAACAAAGAGAGGCATCTGAAGGGCCCCGGGGCACAATGTGTGTTCGGGGAGCTTCACAGGCGTAACTTCCGCTTCCAGGGTCCCTGTGAGCGTCCATGGATAGATTTCAACAGACTTGCGAATCCGGAAGTGCTCATCAGATGGGGCTTTTGTCTCTGGTGGTGCACTGTTCTAGAGAGGATACCTGTGGCTTTGTGCAGATACCACACCGTGGCCCCTCAGAGCCTGCCGGGGAGGGCTGGATGCATTCAGAGAGCCCCTCGCCAAGTCCTAGGGATGAGACACATGCTCCCGGCGGGGTTCCCTTTGAAGCCTGGACTTGGAATAGAGAGGCTGACATGCTCTGTAGGAAGAGAAATTGATGTATCCAGGGGACAAATTACCAACGCTTCTGGAAGATTTCCTTCCCAGTCCCTCACTCGTCTCTGTCAGAAGGCTAATAAACACTTCTGAGACACATTATTCAATTTCCCTATCTGCCTTCAACCAGAGGCAGCTGGCAACCCCATTTTTAAATCCCGGGGCGCCCTTTCCCTATCACACCCAAGTCTCAAATCCACCCTGTAAGGAGATAAAGGAAAACAAGTCCCACGAAGTAATTAAAACCTGGAAAGGAAAACTAGCACTACCCATTAGATGTGGATGGCATGTCTGGGGGGCGCAGGGAGTCCAGGGATGGATTCGCGGCTGCCGGAAGGATGTGGAGGAGGAGAGGAACCTCTCTTTTGTCAAAAGCTGTTGGAGAGGCCTTGGAACCGAGGGAGGGCGGGCAGAGCGATCAGCCTGGAGCGGGGCAGGAGCTTGGTGCTTCTCCAGGCACCACGGCCTCCCACACGCCCCCCCCCCCCATCTCCTTGGCCCCATTGAGCAAACCGGTCTTGGAGACAACGAGGACAGCGAGGACTGCAGTCTGGGAGGGGCTCAAGGGCAGAGGACAGGAAGAGGGAGGCCCAAGCTCTCCCTGAAAAGTCCGCAGACACCCCCAAAGCTTGCACCCTCGCCAAAGCCCGGATCCGTTCCCTCCCAGCACTCTGCATGCTGTCCTCATTCGGTCTGTAACTGAAGGACACGTGTCACGCCTGTCTCCTCGGCCCAGGGGAGGCTCCGAGCAGGGCCAGGTCAGTTCAATCCCCACTGCGTGCTGGCCCAGAGCCGAGGAGTGGCCACTCCGTGAATCACTGCTGGACCCCAATTTTCTAAATTTTCTTCAGATGGCACCATCAGGCTCTGAAACGTTGGCGACTGTGCAGGAAACAGAAGCCATCCCCTGCTGCAGCTCAGTGCCCAGGCGGCGTCACAGAGCTGCCGGAGGCCCTGCTCCGGCGCCCTCTGCTGTTACCGAGCTCCTTTGGATGCTGCCCCCCCTCCGCCCCTCCCCAGGCCAGACACCCCCAGGGCGGGCCTGCGGGGTGGGGGCGGGGTGTTGCGGGAGCACTGAGGGGCTTGGGAGTGGCAGCTGCATAGCTCTGTCCAGGTTGCCAGGTAACAGTGGCTCAGCAGCAAGTTCCCCAGCAACTTGTCACCTTCTGATGGCTCATAATAGGGCTCCACAAACCCTAGTGTCACTTCCTGGGCAAAGCCCCAATTAGTCCCCAGAGCTGAGCCACCCACACACTGGAGAAAGCACAGCGGCTCCACTGCCCGCTGTCACAGGTGACCTCCCCCCGACCCCCGTCCGCTCCCCAGTAAGGCCCAGAAGACCTAAAAAAACCCAAATGGCCAGCACAGCCTGAGATGTGTTCTCTAATGTAGGTCAATGGCATGGCAGCCCTTCCAAGCGGCCACAGGCCTGGGGAGGCCCCCGGAAGACACCTTCATGTCTGCAGCCGCCCCCGACCCAGGGGTCGTGGGGGTGGGGGAGGCGCCCTGCCCAGCTCAGCAGCGCAGAGCCTGGTTAAAAATAAGAGGCCTCCCCACCTGTCACCCCTCCAAGTAAAGCGGGAGTCGAGGCTCCCGGAGGCGGACAGGAATTAGGAGTTCTGAGCCCCAAGGCAGCCGTGCTATTTGTTCCCCAGCTCTTCCCCTCCTGCCTGGAGGGGGCGGTGCCAAAGGGCAGGGACTCCGGGAGGGACGCGGGCGTCTGCCCCTCAGCCTTGATCAGCAGGCAGCCGCGAGCTCCGGGCCTGGGCCCACTCTGCCCAGGGCTTCTCCCTTCGCTTCACCCCGGTCGAGCAGCAAGGATGTCCTGTGCCCTTCGTCTCAGGGAAGGAATGTCACAAACAGGGGAAAAATAAAGGTGACGGGGGCTTGGGTTCCCAAAGGCCTGAGTCTTTGAAGGGAGAGGGTTGAGGGAAGAATCCAAAAGTTCCCAAGAAAACGTGTTTGAGGAGCCTGGGGCTCTCCCTACCCGGAAACGCCGCCCTCAGGCTGAGCAGGAGGGGGACGGGGGGACAGGAGGGCAGCCCGGCTCTGCCAGCGCGCAAAGTGGGGCCACAGCGGGCAGGCCGCCCCCTCGCGAGCCAAGCTCCCACTGGCACCCGGGAGGCGCGGGGGGGCGCCCCCAGCCCAGGCCGGGACCAAATGCCCTCTCATTACAGGACGTTTGAAAAGTGCAGATTCCATCTCCTCAGAGTGTCTGAGATTGAAATAACTGGGCCAAACAGAGCCCGCCGTGTGTTGACAAGGACGCAGCATCGGCTGTGCCACCTGACAAAGAGGGGGGCCTCCCAGTCCAGTGGCACTGACCCCATTCACACCCAGGCTAACAACCTCCCTGCCCAGCTATCTGCTGGGAAACAGAAGGCAAAAGAAGACAATTTACATCCAAATACAAGCTCCTCAGGACACTGGCAGGTGTCTCAGTGCAGACACTCCCAGGGGGGACGACAGTTGAAGCTGCCACTTCCCACCCACCTCAGACGGGAAGGCAGCGGGAAGGTGAGCAGAGGGGGAGGGAAGGGGGGACTGGCTGGTCCTGGCTGTGACCCCCTCCTTGGCTGAAAACTGGTCTCACCCCACCCCTGAGCACAGGCTGTCACCTGACCCAAACCCAACCGCCCAGAATGCCCAGCGCCCCTGAAACCAGCATGACCCCCAGCAGAGCAATCATCTCCCTGCCTTGAGATTTAAATATATTATGAGGACCCTGGGAAAGCGATGTCCTTTTTCCAGTAGGGTCACTAAACTGGAGAACGTGACTCTGGGACATGGATAGATCCCTCCCTGCTGCACAGACAGGGACTGTCTGCCAATAAAGTCGCAGCTGAGAAACAGACGAGGGGGGGAGGGGAGAGGGGAGGGGAGAAAAGAGAGGGAAGAGTAAAGAGGGGGAAGGTGGGGGAGGGGACACGCGCGTCCCTGACGCCCTTCATTCTGCGGCTCCCCTTACGTCTGGAGACCTAGTCCAGAAGCATTCTCAGCCTGGCCAC